CGATAACACACACGTCCCCGTTGAGGAGATGAGATTAATTCCTTTGCCAGGAATGTGACATTTACCGTTGTAGCATTCACCACTGTAACATCACCAAGCTCTAGATTAGGTAATAACGAGGCCGCTCCTGATGTACACCGGCTATCTTCACGAATCACACGAATCTCATCCCTCTCTGACAGATTAGTTCCTGTTAAGAGCATATATCCATGTTCATGTGCCTGTGGTGCTGTTGGTGTTACTGTGTAGACACTGGGATTAGCTTCATCCAACTTCACCACAAACCCTGCCACAGGGTTTTCGGCTGTAACCACAACTGTATACGATATGTTTGCAGTTGCCCCACATCCACCAGAGCTGGAATAACAGACTGGAACACAAACAGCATAGCCGTCTGCATTCGGTACATATGGCGCAGTAAAACTTCCCGTTACGTTTGGCGTGCCAATACCACGCAAATTCCCTAATGGAATACCGCTAAAAATCAGAGATGCACACACCTCTGCGAGACTATCCGGTGCTGTACAATTCACCACTGCATTTCCCCCACATGGAATAAGGAAAGGCGCTTGAAGTCCACCCAAAAAGCCTTGATTCACCGGCCGCCCTTCCTGCGAGGACTCCTGCATCGTGAGATTGACAGGCCCTTGTCCACCCGCTACACTTCCCGGCTGCAACTGCAGTGTGCTATAGATCGCGGGCCATACCTGCAGTGTGTCATTTCCGCTGGACCCATCACGGCGAACGAGAACGGCACCCTTATCGGAAACATAACAAATCACATACTTCGAGCCCACTGTAAAGACAGTACTGCGTACAGTGATGCTTGCAAGTCCCGTGTATCCATCAGCGTCGGCGGATGCCACGGTGAAGTTATTCGTCGCCCCACCACCACCCCCTTCGGAACAATTAGTGGAATTTCCAGCATCTATGATAAAGTAAAAAGAATCCCCAACTCGAATGGGTGGCTCACCAACGAGGAGATTGCTTGTAAAGCGTAATTGTGCCATTTGATAGAGTGAGAGCTGCACGACATTCGTGGGTGTGAACGTCACGGCGGCCTCAGCCACATCACTGAGAGCCACAATGTGCAATAAGACACACAACAGCAATGTGAATCGGTGTGGGAGAGAACGCATCATTACTCCCACTATATATATATGTGTGTGTGCCTCTCCCTCCAAA